CCTTTGAGATGTATAATAAGTATAATATTTACCTTTGAGATGTATAAGTATAATAAGTACCTTTGAGATGCAGTAAAAGGTAGAGAGAGGTAGGAAAAATAAAAGTCCTCAGGTTCTTAAAAAAGTGTTTATTTCATATAAAGATTTACAATATTTAATTTATAATCAAATACGAATTATTACTGTTATTATGTGACCTCACAGTCCTGCTACATTACCAATCTATTGTTTAAGAAACGTGGAAATGTGTTGGATCATAGTGAACTTGTGTTGGTGAAAAGAGTCGTAAGAAAGAGGAAGAGGCGGTTCAGCTGATTCTGAGTAAGTCCTGCTGACCTGCTTTATGGGTTCTGAAGCTGTGGTCGAGAAGAGAGCACCTGAGAGGACCAGATCTTTGCCCCGCCAAAATAAAATGCCACCGTGGCTTCTGACTGAACCAACAACGAACTGAAACACAACACATTATTTATGCCATTAATCAACAAACACGTGTTTTCCTTCATTTACAGGTTTTCATGAACATTTGACAGGACTTTTGAAGTTTACTTTGGTTAATATGAACGTGTGTTTTTTATAATGCACTTCTGAATGAACACTGGTTAGAAAATAATGTTCGGTGCTGATAGTCAAAAAAGTATGAAACACAGCCTGGAGTGTACTCGTTACTCATCATGCGAGTGTGCCTGAAACACTGTGAGATGGGCGGCTGAACACTTCATGCATAGATCCTGATGATGATGATGATGATGATGATGATGATGAGCGTCAGTGAAGACTTCTCAGAGTCAGCAGATCGTCACGGCTGCCAGCACGAAACATTACTCATCATTATCTGGAGAGAGAGACAGAGACACAGAGAGAGAGCAAGAGAGAGAGAGAGAGACACACAGGGAGAGAGAGACAGAGACAGAGAGAGAGACACAGGGAGACAGAGAGAGACAGCGACACAGACAGAGAGAGAGAGAGAGACAGCGACACAGAGAGAGAGAGAGAGAGAGAGACAGAGACACAGAGAGAGAGACAGAGAGAGAGAGAGACAGAGAGAGAGAGAGACACAGAGAGACAGAGAGAGAGACAGAGAGACAGAGAGAGAGAGAGAGAGAGAGAGAGACACAGAGAGACAGAGAGAGATGATTAATATGAGAGGCAGAGGTCATTGGTTAGATCTCATCTCTTAATAAGAAGTGACAGAAGAGAAGCAGATTCATGGTTCCCAGATGATGCGTCCTCATGACTTTTGGTGATCCTGTTTAAATGGGAACAAACAGATCTTTCCTCCAGACTTCTGTTTGTTCCTCGTGTGGAACGAGAAGGAAACGTAGATCAACAGCATTTTAACCCAAACGACGATCTTTTACTGAACCTAAGTAAGAAGATTTTTTGCTGAGACCTAACTTAGTATTTCACAATATCTTCTTAATCCTAAGTAAGTACTTTTGTCGTCTAAACCTAACTAAGTTGTTTCCTGTGAAGACGGAAGTTTATTATGAAAAAGACTGTGAATGTAACGAGCTGAACCGGACACGCGTTTCTGGACTTTCGTAGGAAAATGCACAAAAAGCAAAAAGTAACTTTTCGTAACATAAACAAACTGTTGTATGTGAAAACTAGTACTACACACCTGTAGTTAGACATTGTTGTTCACCATATTTTTTCCCTGATAATGCTATATGATACATTATGAACAGATCTGTGTGGAAATCGGCCGGAGGGGAGCTAGTTATCGTTAGCTGTTAGCATCCAGCTAGTTAACGTTAGCTGTTAGCATCCAGCTAGTTATCGTTAGCTGTTATCATCCAGCTAGTTATCGTTAGCTGTTAGCATCCAGCTAGTTATCGTTAGCTGTTATCATCCTGCTAGTTATCGTTAGCTGTTGTCATCCTGTTAGTTATCGTTAGCTGTTATCATCCTGCTAGTTAACGTTAGCTGTTATTATCCAGCTAGTTAACGTTAGCAGCCGGTGAGCAGCACAGTCCTGTTATGCTAAATAACGGAGCTAACAGCTAACGTTAGCGGAGGTTGCATTGAGCTACATTATGATGCGTTCGAGCTCTATTCAGTAAAAACGAGTATTGGGCTACATTAATTCTAACATTATTATGATGTGGTCAAATGTCATCTTGTAAAATTAATTTTTTTTCGAGAATCTGGAATAAATCCAGTTGTTTTTCACAGCAAAATAAAATAATTAGAGATGAATTATGAGCTCTAAGCAGCTTATTAATAATTAAATAAAAATACAATTACTTTAGTCCTAATCCTAAATTGTTTTTTTTTTTTAAATGCAAACAACCACTTTAAATGACAACAACAAAGTCAAAGGTTTGTTTGTTGTCATTGTACTACACAGGGATTTATGAAAAATTACACAAACAAATGTAGAATATTTGACCTTTTACGCCGACTTCGGTACGGTTGACTTTATTGTCCAGGACGGTGGTGAAAAATGTTCATGTATATGTTTATATTTATTTGTTTTTGATGCACGTCGGATCGGTGCTCGGTATTGGTCGATAGTTCAGGCATCAGAACATCTGTTTGTGTCTGTAGCCGATAGATTACACTGCATCACCGCAGTAAATGGGTTAATTCACTGTTAGATGACTCAGGAATATGAACCAGTGTTACTGCTGCACGGATGGTAGCCTGCAGATCCATCTCTCACAGATCTGGAGATAAATCCTCAGGGAACAGATCCGACATTCATCAGGCATCCTCTACTAAAAATAGAAAACAAAAGAATCGTCGAATAGAGATGTTCAGTGAGAGAATGTATCTGAAGACGGCTCCTCATCCTGAGGGAGAGCTGTCAAACTCAAAGAACACCCGCCCCACCCCCGTCTCTGTCAACCGAGTTGGCAGGAAGAAGAAGACACACAGTGTTTCTTAGCTACACAACTCGCTCGGAAAGAGGAGATGAGAATAAACGCTCAGTGTACTCTGACACCACAGACGACGTTTTCAACTTGTGTGTCGACACAAATGATGAAAAGATAAAAAACGTGACTAACCTTCTTGGTACGCGCCGTCTGCCATCACCAGATGGAGGATGTTGGGATACAGATGCTGGTGCTCAGTTCCCAAAATGTTCAAGACCAAACTGGAGCCCAGGTCAATGTTCTCGTCTTCGTCTTCATGTATAGCCTTAAAATAGCAACAAAACCCACGCCTGTTTGTAAAATCTTATGTTGAGAACATTCAGAGGGATCAGAAACACTTTCATACCTTAATCTTATTGTAGGCCTCGATGAACTTCTCGAAGCCCATCTGCTGCTCCAGGTTGAAGCGAAGTTCCTCCAGGCGGCTGAAGATGCTGTCGTGGTGCGCGGCCTCTCCGCCCTGCTCCTCTCCACTGCCGTCTGTGGAGCAGTAACAGTTATCACACCGTGAGACACGCTCACTCTGAAGGAGCTTCGTTTGCAAAAAAGAAATAACATTTTTATCACACGGTCACTTATTAAAAAGGCGTGAATCCATAGTCAGTAGATGTTTCAACACGGGAGCAAAGGGATGTTCTGCTGTGCACGTATTTTAGACTCCTAAAAGTACATTACTTTGCTCCCGTGCTGGTTCTCCTGTCTGTTTCTATGAACTCATCTACTGTAGTAGAACCTTGACTGTGGAGGAGAACCTCATACACACACACACACACACACACTACAGAACATCACTACTGTCTATTTAATTAAAGAAGATTTGTTTTACAGGCTGATGTAGTTTGTGACCTTTTTCCACGAAATTCTGTAGCAAGATGAGTAAAAGAGTTTGTCAGCAAAAAGAGTAAATTAACGTTTGTCCTTACAATAAAATACTAACTTAATTAAAACAGTTTAATATGCTTTTATTTTGACAAACTCCTCGTACCTGACTGCCACTCCTCGTTGAGCTGGCTGTTGTTACTGTGGTTCCCGACTCCCACACCGTTGTTCAGCAGCTCCCCTGCTTCCTCCTCACCAGGACTCCCGTTAGAGCATTCCTCATCCTCGTCCTCCTCATCCTCCTCTTCCTCATCTTCATCATCATCTACAGCCATCTGACTGTTGTCCTGGTCGATCTCAGCAGCTATCCCGTTGAAAAGTACCCGTTCTTCTTCTTCTTCTTCTTCCCCCTCCGGAGGGTTCCCGTTAAAGTCTCCAGCTCCGACCTCCTCCTGCAGCAGCCTCTCCATGGAGGCCCGGATGTCCCGCAGGTCTTCATCGTCATACGCACTGGGGAACAGGGACAGATTGTTATCAAACACAGTGTGCCATCAACAAGCCACGGAAAACTGATTGACAGACTCGGAGTGAGTCACGATAACAGCAGTTCATAACCGTCTTACTCTTCGGTCTCCGACTGGTCGTCGTCTTTAGCTGCGTCCTCCAGGTCCTCGATCTCCAGGTTGGTGTCGGGGGCGACGTGAGCGTCGCTCATCACCGCGGAGTCCTGCTGAGAGCTGAAGAGGCGGCTGAGGTCGGGCAGCGAGCAGGTCCGCAGCATCTGAGGACACAAACGGAGCCACGGGTTCAATACTTTGATGGGGCTCAGACAGGAAGTCGTGATTTTACGGAGATAGATTTGACTTGAACAGATCGACTGGAATTATTTCCTCGTCCGACATTTATGTGAAATTGTAGCATTAAGTCATGGCCTGAAATGTGTTCTGTGAGGTTCATCCCTGAGTGCAGGCGGATTTATTGTGCTAAATTTGAAGAAATTCAAAGTTGGCGAGAATCGGTCGGACGGACAACGTGAAAAACACAACGCCTCCGTCTCTTTATATTTACAGATGAAACATTTACACACTTTGCAAAATCAATATAAATGTATTCCACTGAACCTCCAAATGATTGAATTAGTTGCTATAAAGAAGTAAATGATACGGTTATATCTTTATGGTATCCACCCCTGAAGAAGCACAGCGGGTTATTATTCTGTGCAGCTCTTTGTGTGAGTGTGAAGTGTGCTGGGCTCTGCAGGTCCCAGATGTCCCTGATGAAGGTTGTGACAGATATAGGTTGATGGATGCTCTCTCCGTCCTAACAGACCCGCTGCAGGTTCACACCGTGTGATTAATGGCTCAGCGTCTGTTCCAGAGCCCCTCATGAATAAAGGAAGCTGAACTCCTTCCTAAAAATACTCCACAAGTCCCGACAGCACATCAACAACGATGTCCTCAACCATGGACCCCATACTGTCAAGTGACCCCTTCAGACCTTTCCTCATAAAGCGTCGTCAGTTCCAGTGTGTTGTTTTAAAGAGCTCAGCCGATCACCTTGGGGTTGTTGGCGTCAAACATGCCCGTGGAGAGGCTGATGAGGAGGGCGTCGTGGTGCTTGGAGCGCAGCGGGGAGACGGAGCGCGAGCGGGAGGCCAGAGAGGAGGAGGAGTCGTCCAGGGAGGACTGGGCCGAGAGGAGCGCCAGGGCGGCGGTGCGTCGGTGGGCCGGGGAGCACAGCTTCATGAACAGGGGCTCCTCGCTCTGTGCTGGACCTGAACGGGGGGTTAATTAAGGTTATAGAATCAGGCTGAAAACAGAAAAGTGTCTTTGACTCACTCAATATTAAAAACTCACCAGAAGATTCAGCTGGTCTCTCTGCACTCCTCTCCACCTCTTTAGTGCCAGCTGGTGTTATTGTGCCCTCTGGTGGCCTGGAAGAATAATACACGTTAACAGGAATAATGTTTTTAAATGTGTTAAAGACATTGTTCACTCCAACAATAGAAAATAAAGAAATCTACAATTTATGCTTCTGTTGGAGCTTCATCACATACTGTGGTGGGTAAATAATGATTGAATCTTAATTGTTGTGTGAACGAGCACATTTCTTTCTTAATATAAACAATAATAATAATAAGAGGAGGAACAGTCACATCGGCTGCCGGGCTTCCTGCTGCCAGGCCTGCTGCACAGCAGCTGGAGGATGTGAGGCCGGTTTAGGGGTCTCCTCCAAAACCACCGACTCCAGGTCTGCTGGATCTGCACAGATTCAGACCAGATAGGGTAGAAATATACTATAATATTATATATATATATATAATAAGTTCAGTTCATTTAAAGAGGACAATACATGTTGATCAAAGTGCTGTAAAGTGGTAAAAGAACAATTCAATGTATAGACGCTTATAACGTAGGTTACTGTGAGCAACCGAGGACGCATTCGGCTGAAAGTCACCAGTTAACACGGTCACTCGTTTAACTGAAACATAATCGATATAAAGCATATTAACAATATAAAAACATTGATCCAACCAGAAAGAATAAATGTGGGTTTTGAGCTGATGTGAGAGAAAGTGAGACTGTTCCAAAGTTTAGGTGCCGTGACTTTAAGTCACATCTGCATCTGTGTATTTGTACACATTTAGAAATGAGGAGCAGAGACGTTGAACGTCACACTGACCCTGAATGTCGGTGAAGTTTGTTGGCAGTGCTGCTCTCCGTGCTGCAGCGTCGGTGGTGTGAGGAGCGCTCTCCTTCTGGACCTCCGGGCCCTGGACCACAGCGGGCGGCGCCGGTTTAGTGGATGACTCGTCTTTAGGCGCCGTCACGACCTCGCCTGCTGCTGTGTGGTCGGGCTTATCTGAGGAGAACATGACATCATATCACAGACGACGTCACTTCATCTCCTTCAACCCTGGCTTCTCTCTGACACAAATGAGAACGACTGAATGAAGACTAACCGGGGCTGGAACTCTGGTCCTCGCAGAGGGTGACGTCCTCCAGCTGCTGGGTGAGAGGCTGAAGCTCCGCCTCCCAGAGTACTCTCAGCACATGAGAGTCCGGACTCGCCCCCCACACCTTCCGAGGAGCTTCTTCCTGCAGCGCCGCCATCTGTATCACTTCCCCCGATGTTTGCTCTGAGACATCGCACAGAAACAGAGACTTTCTTTCACGTGCACTCTGCAGGTTGTTGTGATTTCTCTGCGTTCTCACTCAGGTGAAAGGTCACTCACCGATGGTCCTGATGCACGTGTCCTCTAGAGTCTGTCGGGCTACAGAGAGGACGAGAGGAACTCCCGCCTCCCACTTCTTCCTGTCTCCAGCAGAAGACGGTGTATCATCTGGAGACACTGAGGTGGCTGGTGAGACAATGAGAACGAGAAAGAAAAGTTCTTACAAAACCTTAAAATAGAAGCAGCAATGTAGATGCATCATGGTGATCATGACATTTTCCTTGTGGTATTATTAATATTACTTAGTGCTAACTATATAAAGGCAAGCTACATCATTTGGAAAGTGTCTCTTTTCTAAATCAATAACCACTTCAAAAGAACCAGCAAGTACACTCGGTCAGCGTAAAGCACACAAACAATTGAATAATCTTGTAAATTTGACTTTTGGTAAAAGGGTAACAACAGTGTTTTTAACCCGTTTAGCAGCTGCAGCGTTCTCCTTCAATACAGGACCGATGTTAGAAACGGCTGTCTCCATTAGTTACTTAAAAACATGTGAAAACAGGGCTCAGGTTAACAAATACCTAAGTTCCCCTTTAACCCACGGGCCGGAGCGCTGGCTCGACTTACTGCTTGAGGTGCACGTTTCCTCTAAGGTGAGCTGAGCCACAGGAAGCACCGGCAGTTCTGCTGCTTCCCACTTCTTCCGGTCTCCGTTGGAAGGGGGACGTGTCTCAGAGTCAGACTGGTTCTGTTGGGGGGCCGGACCAGGAAGGGACTCCTCCGCATCTTCTACCGGGTTCTGGGCTTTGAGGTTCTGGTTGAGTCGGCGCAGGATCTGCTTTTTCTCACTCTGTTACACGAAAGGCATAAAGTATAATTATCTTTCTAAAGATCAACTATTTAAAGCACACCGTTACTGTAATAAATGATTATTGACCCGTCACACACTCACCTGGATGACTGTGGCAGACTCTGGCTCAGACGACTTTTCTTTGAGCGGAGTAGTCTGTCAAACACAAAATGATAACTGATAGAACTGATATAACTAAGAAGTACATCAAATAAAACAATACCATAACATAGGACAGCGGTTCCCAACCTCTTCTCCTTGAAGCCCCCCTAACTGTATCTCATCAAAGCTTTATCTCACACTGTGCACAAACACCAGGTCTAAAGAGCATATAGACAAATAAAATGTATATTTTTAATACTTGTATAAACTGGTATAAATGATCCAGTAAGTGTTTCGTTATGATTTACGTTCTACATGTGCAGAAATCTAATTTTGACCTCCTCCAGCAGAGAATTCCCAGACCGCGGGTTGGGAACCAGTGGCGTCGGGTGTGACAGACTTAGTGAATGTATACTGACTGCTCCGACATTCTTCAGGGCGGCGGTCATGGATATGGCTGGAGCTTTGGCAGCTGGGTCTGGCTGAGAGGGACTCGGCTGTGGAGGAGGACCGTCAGAGGTAGATGATGCTGCTGATGCTACGTTTCCTGCTGCCGCGATGCCAGCCTTCATCCCCCGAGCGGCAAGCTTCCACAACACACAATACCCAAGATTAGTCTCCACTCATGCACCGGTCAGGACAGGTAATGGTAGGAAAGAAGGATCAGCGCTTACATGGTCCTCCCAAGCTCTCTTTTCCCTCTCATGAGCCTCTCTCCTCTTCTTCTCTAGTTGTTCCTTCAGTACGGCAGCGCGGGCGTTAGCTTGGGCCTGGTGACAAGAAGCATGAGGCAATGACCAAACATTTGATCATTTGCTGAACTTTAGAAAGGTCAGCAAAGGAGAGCAGCTAGCGTCTCAGTTGTCTCATTAAGTGTCCTCACACTTTGTGTGAAGTTAGAGCCTTTGAACACCGAGGTGTTTAATTTTCTGGTTGTCAGGTTATTGTAGAATTGATTATCGGATGAGTTACATCTCTGACTTTCTAATCGTCATTAAAGCAACCAAGAGAACAAGTCACAGGCTGAAGTATTCTGGAAGGGAGCTGATGGTCTTCCAGGTTTAGGCTGATTGACATCTAATGTGCGAAACATGGGGGGGAGGGGGGGTCTTTTAAAAGCTTAATTATGCCCAGCAGTTGTCAATTATTCAAACATTTATTCTCAAATATGAACAGTGAGTGCGAGAGGCGAGCTCGTATGGTGTGACCGCCCCGAGAAGGGAGAGTCGGGACAAGAGGTAGGCCGGTCCAGCTTGGACCTGCTCCACTACCCAGCCTGCTTCATAGGATGACAGAGGACTCGGACTGTTCCGGCACTGGGAGATCAGAGACTGATGTGCCCACATCCTGCACAGACCTGCCTCCATCGTGGCATCCTGGATCGGTTTGTGCACTCGAGGGCAGGACTCCGGTGGGACGAGGGGAGGCGGGTGATACTTGGTGCTCAAACATAGTCTACGTTTATCTGTTGTAGAATTTTTTATGTTAAGAGGCCGACCGTATTATCTGCCCAAAGAATTCCCCTGTTTCAGTTGCTGCTGTTTCCATTCATCCTGATGCAAAAACGCTCTACAGGAATGTTGTTTTGTTGTCTGCTTTTCTTGTGTAGCTTTAAGGAACTACTCATAGTTGTGTCACTGGTTTGTTTTTCTTGTGATCATCTGAATGTTGCATGTTGTGAAACGAATCATTCTGCAGGCAGACTCACTTTTAAAGCCTCAATCTTCTTCCTCCTGTGCTCGGCTTCCTCGCTGGACTCCTGGCTGTCAGAACCATCGCTGTCATACTGAGAATAAAAACACACCAGCAGCAGCCGGGGAGACGAAGTGTCAGAGCGTAAAAGAGGAAAACACTCATTACAAGTGTGCTCTCAGAGCGAGAGAGCGGAGGACTGCACCTTCTCTCCTCTGAGCCGGGCTTTGATCTGCTGACGCTCATTGAAGTTCTGCAAGCGGATCTGCCTCAGCCGTGACAAGTACTCCTGAGAACAAATACACAGGTGTTACACACTGCAAGCTAGACACACAGAGATGAAGAACAACATGGTCACAATCACACAGGGAGCACTGTACATGAACACATCAGCCAGAATAATAAGCAACACAACATTTACAGTTAACAATAAAGATGCAAATGTTTATGTTCTCCATTCAAAGCAAAAAACAGCTGCAATAAACAACTCAAACCGAGGTGGGAGTGGGTCATAGAAATGGGACACAACGAACAAAAACAATGGTATTTATTGTTGTGAGCAGCCATTATTGGAGAGGCAAAATAAAGACAGTGGAACACCACACCGTGGTTGTGCAAAACAGGCGAGCATGAGTTTGAGCTGCCAGGTTGAATTATGGGTCGGGGGGAGTTTTGTGAGACGCTTATGAAGGACGACGAGCCAAAGCCAGACGTGCTGTGAGTGAGGGGGACTGTGGGGCTCCTACCTCCTCCTCTTTGTTGGCTCTGGGTCTCCTGCACCGGATCGAACCGGCCCAGCTTCCATAGGTCGCTGCCAGGTTTTGCCGAGCGCCCTGTTTACCGTTCCACATTTTTATAAAAGGACCGTAACATCTGACTGGCACAACAGTCACGAGCTCGGGCCAGGAGGGAACGTTTAATCAAATCACTACATGTAAATTATAAAAGGGTGATTCATAATAATAAAGTCACCCAACTCTGCAGCTCTACATGGTGTTTTATCTGTATACTCCTCACATCAACCTGCAGCAGATGGAAGCGGGTTTCCACCAATAAATCTTAATAAATAAATATTATCAGCTGGTGAAGAAAGTTAGAAAAAACTAGAGCAGTAAATACTGGACTGATGTCCATCAAGTGGCCAGAAACACAACTTCAGTGGTTCTGTTGATGATTATGTTTGTCTGCTGTATGTCAGAAACATTTCAGCGAGTTTCTAAAATCATACGACAATTATTTGTCACTTGCAATTGTCACTAAAAACGTTTTTAAAAGCAGTTTCCTTTATTAAAAGTGCAAAACATTTATTCTCTGATATGAAGAGTGAGTATGAGCAACGACTTTCCACCGTAAATGACATCCAGCCAGAGTCTCCAGGTCTGTCTGTGGACCTAAACCGACAATCTTTGGACAAAATTGTGGGAAGACACGGGAACCCCCCCGATTATTTTGCACACTGCCACCAACAACAAGTGCAAAAGGCGAGAACGTTGTCAGGGAAGTCTGTCTGTCGGCTTCCTCTCGGCTCATTCTGCCCCCTAGTGGCTGAAAATCTATTAATGCAGAACAACGTCAAGTCATTTTGGCCTCTCATATGTTCAACTCCCTTCACTCAATTACTCTGGCTCAATGCTACTTATGCTGAACTGTTGGCTAACGACAGGTAGCTCATGGTTTCTGTGGGGTTGGCAGTGAGAGCTGGTGGGTCTCGACCTCACAAACCAAAACAATGAGCTGAAACCTGGCTGCTGCTTCCCTTCCACGATACATGGAGCCATTTATTTCAGTGTTTACACAAACAATATGCTGAATGGAGCGTTGAGTTTGATAACATTTAAAAACATCTGTGCATAGAACATCACACCCAGTAAGCGAGGGGTTTTAAATGTGTTAGAGGTTCCATGTTCCGGTAACAGGACTAAACACTCAGTAGGAGTCTCACTACGTACCAGCTGTCCCTCTGCACGGACTTTGTTGAGCATGGCTTCTCTCTTCCGCTGTAAGAACTCCTCGACCTGACCCCGAGGCCTGAGAACAGGATACCGTAAATGAATAACTACGCTGTGAGAAAGAGCTGAGGGATGTGGAGTTTAAATCCAGATGTGGAGGAGCAGCTGCTCGACTGACCGACTGACGTGGGCTGGTTTGGAAACGTCCTGCAGCCTCTGCAGCTCTCTCTTGAAGGCGTCACAGTTCAGGAGTCGGGCGGGGCCGTTGGGCAGCACTGCACCGGCAGCAGACGGTACGCTTCTCACAAACGGAGGGGGACGCCATTAAAACCAGTATTCAACACACAGGAAATCACCTGAACCACAGAGACATCTCGGACCTTACCGGATGGGACTGCCCGGTCCTGCTGAGGATCCCTCTCTGCTGAGGACTTTGGGCTGTTGTTTAGCCATCTGGTCCAGAGCAGCGTGGTAGTGCTCATACGGGGCTTTACTTGGGAGACAGGCCGAAGGGTTGGGACTCTGAACGGAGCATGGGACGGCCCTGTTTCCACCACCTACAAAACACTGAGTAAAGGGCACAAAAGGTGTCTGTTAGCCTGAAGCAGGAGCTGAATGACACGAATAGAATCATTAAAGTGTAGTTCTGGTGACTGAGTCCAGTACCTTCCTCTCTGGGCTGCTCCCTCCACTAGAGCTCTGGACGTGTTTCCAGCCTTGTTCTCTGGCCTGGTTTATACGATTGATCTGTTAGAGATCACAGCTTCTCCATTACTTCAGCTTTAGATGGAGACATACAATACAGTTTCCCTTTCCAATGCCCCTCCCCCTACTGCAGTAATGACTCGTTACATGAAAAAAGAGAAATAAGAAACGACAGCTACCTTTTCTTTTTCATATCTCTTCATTTGCTCCGCTTTCAACAGGAACATCTGGAGGAAACAGAACTGTTGTTACACTTCCAGCAGCTTCCTGATCCATCAGAAGCTTTACAGAGGGACTTACAGGGATAGTTTGGATTTTTTGTTGCACAGTCAGGGTTCTACTGCAGTAGATGAGTTCATAGGAACAGACAGGAGAACCAGCACGGGAGCAAAGTAATGTTCTGCTGTGGACGTGTGTTAGACTCCTAACAGAATGTCTCTCAGTCACAACCTTATACTAAATATCACTACTGACACTTTAACAAATGCACCCACCTGCTCTCTCTGTTTCCTTTCTTTCTCAATCAGCTCCATCCGTTTCTTCCTCATGCCATCCTGAATGAGGCAAAAGCATCGCATTTAAAAAAGAAGCATCTCAAAGAAACTGTGTTCGAGGCAGCAGGACTGCTGTGGTTAACAGAGAAAGCTCGGAATGAGAGAAACAGGTGAACGTGGGGATGAAGCGTGATGAGAGGGAGGGAAAACTAAACATGCTGGTCGGAGGAGACCTTCATGTGGGAGTAAATGTGGGGAGAAAAACGGAAGGGGGAGTCTAACAGTAAATTCAAGTTATAAGGCGCTCTCTGTTGTACCTCGTGTTTTTTCCTCTCTTCCTCCACTTGACTCACTCTTCTCTGGGGGGCTGCAGGGGGAGGGGCCTAAGCAACATATGACACACGATGATGTAAAAACAAGCACACAGATGGAGAGGCCTCCGCCACGACAGACCAAGAGCTCCACAGCAAAGAGAGCTTTTTGTTTTCACAGGAACTAGTCATCAACTATCTACTCACCGGTCTATGCTTCACAGCTGCTTTCCTCTCTGCGGGTCTTTTGGCTGCATCCGACACCTTCCTCCTAGTTAAAGGCACTCCGTATTTGCTGGCTGGTTTGGTGATTTTCTGGGCCGGGGCGAGTGGTATGGAGCCAGGGGCAGGACGCTTAGCTGGTCAAAAAAAGCATTCATCCAAGTCAGTATTCAGCAGCCAGTACAATGTGCACCAAAAAAGGCATTACTATAAAAGTACTGTTTTCTATGAGGTCTACGCACTGCTGGTCTCCAGAGGACTAGAAGTAAAGGAATATTGTATCATGAAAGTGCAACTACGTAAGGTTATTGGCATTATAGCTGAAATGCACTTGGTGTTTCACACTGCATTGCACCAACAAGGCAAATGTAAATGTAGACCTAAGTAACACAAACAGTCCTGTATATTGTGGTACAATTTCCTGCATCATTGTGTTAATTATTCACTTATTCTGTCCTTATAGTGGTAAAAATAATTATTAAAAATCAGTTTTATATTGTCTATCCTCATCAAAAGTGGTAAATAAATCATAAAATAAAGCCTTGGATAGTAACCGCCTGCCCGGGACGCTCTAAGAGGTAAAACGAACGCACCCGCATTGAGGCAGGGATCATTTCATTGGTCAACACTACACCTGGTGTTCTGTTGGGTGGGGGAATTTCTGACAAGGTTGTTGCACAAAAAACAATGTGAGAGCAGACGTCTCACACAGGAGAAGTGTGAGGAGGAGATCTGTGCATGCAACAATACAATACAATCTGTGCATGCAACACAATACAATCTGTGCATGTA